TTTGTGTCACCTCTTGGTTTCAAGTCGTGATTTTCGAGAAAATATTTTCGAGAAGAATTAAATGCAATAGAGTGTTGTTCAACTAATAGTCGAAATGTTGAAAACATAAAAAATAATAGTCAGTTATTCACAACTACAGGATTATATTCACAGAACATTAATCAGAACTCTAAGAATAATTACAAAAATTTTTTTCTAAAATCATTTGATAGCGATTACCAAAACAAAAGAAATTATAATTATCCTTGCGTATACTGTTCAGAAAATCACAACCCCTGGGAATGTAAAAACGTGACAAATTTTTCAACCAGAAAAGAAATTTTAAAAAAGCAAGGTAGATGTTTTAATTTTCTTAGAACGAATCACATATTAAAGAATTGTCAAGCAAATTATATTTGTAGTAAATGCAAAAAAAGGCATCATATTTCCTTGTGTGAAAAAGATAACACTTTTGTTGGGCATGCAACACATAACATTTCCCAAAAAACTATCTTGTTGCAAACAGCTAGGGCAAACATAAGTGCAGTTCCAGAAAATAAGTCTTTAAAGGCAAGAATCTTATTTAATAGTGGAAGCCAACGATCATATATAAGTGAAAATATTCAAAAACGATTAAATTTAAAAACTATTAGGAAAGAGAAAATTATAATAAAAACATTTCGGAAAGATAATGAACAAACATTGCAATTATTAAATGTTGTTCAATTTAAGTTCAAACATAAATATACTGATCACAGTGTTTATATGGAAGCTTTATGTGTACCAGTTATTTGTAGCCCTCTGCAAGGGCAAAATGTGTCATTAGCTTGTAATCAATTTAAACAATTATCCAAATATTCATTAGCTGATTATGATGATGGGTCTCTTGATGGGTCTCTTTCAGCAGGTATAGACTTTTATCACAGTTTTATTACTGGAAGAATCGTAAGAAGTCGATTATGTGGTCTAGTAGCTAGTAAATCAATCTTAGGGTGGGTATTAAGTGGTCCTATTTCTCTGGAAAAAAGTACAAAAAATACCACAAAAACAGTTTTTACTAGTCATTCTATGCACTGTGAGGTTGAAAGTGAAATAGATGAGCTTAGGAAAGATCTAAATAAATTTTGGTCTGTTGAAACCATAGAATCTCCTGAGAGTTGTGTGATATATCAGTTTGAAAAAAATCTCACACATAACGGGAAACGATATATAACAAAGTTACCATTCAAAACTGATCATGATTTTTTACCTGATAACTATAATATTTGTAAAAAACGTCTGGCTAATTTAAAGGTAAGATTAAATGATAAACAACTGGTTACAGAATATAATCAAATTTTTATAGATTATGAAAAAAGTAATATAATAAAAAGAGTTAGTGAGTCTGATATTTTTAAAGAACCAGGGTGTGTGCATTATTTGCCTCATAGGCCTGTCATTCGAAAAGATAAGGATACTACAAGAATTAGAGCTGTTTTTGATGCGTCCTGTTCGACAACAGCACCGTCTTTAAATGATTGCTTGTATTCAGGTCGAATTTATTGTCAAAAATATTTGATATTTTACTAAAATTTAGGTTTAATGCTATAGGGATAAATGCTGATATAAAGCAAGCATTCTTAAACATTGAAATCTTTCCTGAACACAGAGATTACTTGAGGTTCTTGTGGTACGAGAGTATATCTGATAAAGAGGCTAAATTAATTGTATATAGATTTCTTAGAATTGTTTTTGGTTTAACTAGCAGTCCTTTTCTTTTAAATGCCACTTTAAAACACCATCTTAATAAATACATTAAACATGATGAAAAATTTATTGAAAGATTAATAGATCTTTATGTTGACGACATAGCCTCTGGCTGTGAAACAATTTTAGAAGGAAAAATGCTTTATAAAAAATCTAAATGTATATTTTTAGATGCAGGATTCGGATTAAGAAAATGGATTACAAATGATCACGAATTACAAAATTATTTTAATAAAATGGAAACAAATCAAAGTGAAAACTCAAAATGTAATCTAAAAGTTGATGAATTAAAATATTTTGAAAGTGAAATTATTATAAATGAAAACAATAATAATTTTATAAAAATTTTAGGAATTGAGTGAGATATATTAAAAGATGAATTTATTTTTGAGTTTAAAGAATTTGTTAAAAATGCAAGAATGCTAAAAATAACTAAAAGAAATATTCTTAAGATAGTAGCATCTTTCTTTGATCCTCTAGGTTTTTTAACACCAATAACTTCTAGAGTAAAAACAATTTTTCAATTAATTTGTAGAGATAAAAGTGGATGAGATGAAATAGTAACAGAAGCAATAGAATTAGCTTTGACAGAATTTTTAAAGGATCTTGAATTATTAAGTTTTGTTAGAATCCCAAGATTTGTGTTTGAGAGAGTGAATGAGAGTAGTAAGCGTGTTCAATTGCGTGGATTTTGTGACAGTTCTAAATTAATTTATTGTGCCGTTAAATATCTAGTTGTAGAAACTAGTTTAGGAGTGAATAGGAAGTTTTTAGTTTCAAAGTCACGTGTTTCACCCTTAAAAAAATTAGGTATACCTAGATTAGAGTTATTAGGTTGTGTGTTACTGAGCCGACTTTTAGAGGAAGTGTTAAGAGTTTTGAAAGGAAGAGTGCACTTTGAGGATGTAAGTTGCTGGTGTGATTCAGAAGTGGGATTGTATTGGATTAAAGGTAAGGAAAGAACGTGGAAACCATGGGTGGAGAATAGAGTGAATGCCATTAGAAAAGTGGTTGATAGAGAAAAATGGAATCATATTAGTGGGGAGTTGAACCCAACTGATTTTCCTACTCGAATAAGTAATTTTGTCGATTTTGGACATTGGTTGAAAGGACCAGAATTTTTGTTAAATATGAACAAAGAGATAAATGAATTTAAAGTTGATAAAAAGTTTCACGTTGATATTATGTCTGAGTGTAAGAGAGGAGAAAATGTAGTTATTTGTAATGTTGTTTTGGACTCATCACCAAGTTTGAGTAGTATCATTGATGCATGTAGATTTAGTTCATTTGAAAAGTTAATTATTAGTACTGGATATGTATTTCGATTTATCAACAATTTGTTAAAAATAATTAAAAAGCTACCATTAAACAAACAAGTTACTTTGACGACAGATGAGTACAAATTTGCACTCAATGAATGGATTAGAGATGAGCAAAGAATTTTACAAAATGACAAAAGTTTTGATGAACTGAAAAACTCTTTAAAGTTATTTGATGGCAAAGACAAACTAATACGATTACGAGGAAGATTTGAAAATGCTAATTTAAACTTTGCAGAAAAATATACTTTAATATTACGTGGAAAAGAAAATTGGTTTACAATATTACTGATTCGTAACTGTCATGAACAAGTTTTGCATCATGGAATCGAATCGACGTTGAATAAAGTACGATCTCAATTCTGGATAATAAAAGGACGATCGACGATAAAAAGTATTATTAGACAATGTGTAACATGCAAGAAGTTCCAAGGAAGAACATTGTTACCACCTAGCAGCCCAGATTTACCTGATTTTCGAGTTAATAATTTATATTCCTTTCAAGCAACTGGTTTAGATTATGCAGGACCTTTATTTGTAAAAACAGTTGATAAGGATGCTGCCTGTAAGGTCTATGTTTTACAATTAACTTGCGCGTCTAGTCGAGCAATTCATCTTGAACTGACACTTGACATTAAAATTCTGGCCTTCATAAGAGCTTTTAAGCGTTTTGCAGCGCGAAGAGGTTTTCCTGATCTTATTATCTCCGATAATTTTAAGACCTTTATATCTAAGGAAGTTAAAAATTTTATGATGAAAAATGATGTGCAACAGAAGTTTATTCTACCAGCTTTCCCCTGGTGGGCGGTTTCTACGAACGTTTAGTTAGATCTGTAAAAATTACAATGAAGAAAACAATTGGTAAGTCTCTTTTATCTTACGAAGAACTCAAAACGATTTTATGTGAAATCGAATCTGTGATAAACAGTCGTCCATTATTTTACATGAGCGAGGATGACACTGAAGAAGCATTAACACCATACCATTTAATGTATGGACGAAATATTGTTAATAAAATGAATGGAATTAATCTACTACCTAATGATATTTTGAAAAGAGCTATATTTATAAAAACAACGATATTTAACTTTTGGAGAAGGTTTGCAACTTCTTATCTTAATAAATTTAAACAACACCATTTATACGTAAAAAGTAAAACTTCATACAACGAACAGCTAGTATTAAACGATGTAGTTCTTATGCGAGATGATATCAAGATCCCTAGAAGTCAATGGCGTATGGGAAAAGTTTTGAAACTTATTAGAGGAGCTGATGGAAAAGTACGAGGTGCGCGTTTACAAGTTTTATCCAAAGAAGGAATTAGAACAACATGTTTCCGACCTATTCAAAAATTAATACCTTTTGAATTTACCAACAAATCAAACGAAAATGAAATAGGTGTGATTGCTACTGATGAAACGTGCAGGTCAATTTGTAAGCGGCCGATCAGACAGGCAGCGAGCGCAGAAGAAAATTTGCGGCGTTTAAAAGAGATATATTATTAGTTGACCATGTCAACATAGGGGTGTATGTTAAAATTGTTTTATTATTATACGGCTTTTTGTTATTTATTACCGGTTTTATCTGGTTTTTCTTGATTATTCAATTTTTGGATTGTAAAAGTTTTTGTTACGGATATATTAGTACGTTAACACGATGTTACAAGAAAGAGAATAACTTAGCTAAAACCCTTCTCAATTAATGTGTCTAAAATAATTAATTAAAGTGGTTTTTTACAAACTTTATAACTAATTGAAGTAAAGTTATATTAGAAAAGTATACTTAAAATTAAAAAAAAGCGTAATTAAAACTAAATATCACTAAACACTCCAACAGCATTAGAAGGACAAGTTTTTGAAGTGAAAAATAAAACAATTGTTGACATGTGTTATAAAATTTGACATGTGTAATAAAATAAAACATATATTAGCTAAATGAAAAATACTATTAATTTACCTGGACAAGAAATGTTTTCATTACAGTTTCGAAATTCTTTTGACAATGGTTCAGGGCAATCTTCATCTGAACAAATGCAGCTTCTAGTTTGCTGAGGAACTATTGCGACATTCAGTTGACAGCTAGCTGAGCATTCATCCCATTCTCCCCATTGTTTGCAGTTATCTAAAACTTCAAAGATAAGAAAATTAAAGCAGTTATTAAAATTCAAGACAGCACCCAGTGGGCACAAGACGTAAAAAAGGCGTCCTTTGGACGTTCAATTAGCGTCTGTTCGTCCCATTTAAATTATAAACGTCTTTTGAACGTCTTTTTCACGTCTTATAAATTTTTCGTCCAAAAAAGATCCAGAATGCTTAATTAAATCAAAATTAAATTATTTAAATCATACAATCATCTAAACTTATTTATTTTTGTTAATAGATGCTTTTAAATGTCACATTATTTTGCGCATGCATATTTTGCTGGCAGTATAGAAAAAACAAAACATAGCATTTCACACACAACTTCAAACTATATAAACTTTAACAAACTAAGAGTTATGCCAGATAATTGTTGTGCTGTTGGTTGCAGTATTGTTTGAAAAAATCATAATAAAATAAAAAGAAGCTTCTACAGAACACCAGATAAAAAACAAGCCAAGAAACGTTATTAGCAATACAAAGAAAAAACTGAAAAATCCATATATTGTGCTAAACTTTGTAGTGATCATCTTATTTCTGGTAAGTATTTACGAATTTTTTTAACTTTATTAAAAGCATAATTAAAGTATTTTTATTTGTAAATTGCCCTCTAATTTCAGGTTTTGTTTATTATAGAAAAAAAGTCTGGCGATCGTTTAAATCTTGACTATGTACTAAGCATTTCTAATTATAAAAATGTTCCTGAAAATGTTTTTAATCAAAACAAATATCATTTTAAACATGCTTAGAAAAGAAAAGCACAAATTTTAATTAATTTAGATTCTACAGCAGAAAACAACATGGAACAGTTAACGTCTGAAAAAGGTACATAATTTTATAGTTAAATTATTTTTTTTGTATACAATTAGTCTTGATAATAAATTGTTATATTCACATCACAAAAATTATAAGTTTTTACAAAATTCAATTCTCTAGCAGGATGTAATATGAAACTTAATTAACTAGCATTAGTTAGATTTGTATTATTTACTTTATGTAGCTTTTGTAGCTTACAAGCTACTTGCTATACTTTATAAGAATTATAATTACGATTATATACTTATTGTTTACGATTTAATTAGAATAACTATTATGAGAACAATATTTTTAATAATTTACTTTATTTTTATACTTCTCCGATTTCAAAGTGGTTTATTAAGTAAATGTATCTAAAGTAACATTAATCTATAGGTATGCAGAATAAATATAATCAATTTGAAAGCCTGCAAAAAGAACTAATAGAAAGGAATTTAGAGTTTTATCAGTTGAGTGAAAAGATTACAAAATTGGAGTCGCAAAAGTTTTCATACAAAAATATTTCAAAAAACAATGGTAAAGTTTGATTTTACACTGGTATAAGTGCAAAATAATTTATTTGGCTATTTGAAAGAATTAAAAACTATGTGAAAAGGTTTTCAGAAAAAATACCCTTAGAAGACCATTTATTGTTAGTTTTAATGCGATTACGCCAAGGATTATTTATAAAAGATCTAGCTTTCAGATTTTCAATAAATCATGGTTTAGCATAAAAAATATTTAGATGATGGGTTGTTGTTATAGCACCTAGACTTAAATTTTCAATAAATTAGCCTGATCGAATTACAATGAGAAAAGTTTTACTTCGTTGTTTTACAAATTTCCGAAGTTGTATTTCAATTCTTGACTGCTTTGAAATATTTTTACAAAGATCCCTTGGACTAAACTCTTGGGCTCAGTCATGGTCATCTTATAAAAATCATAACACAATTAAATATCTTATTAGTATCACCCCAACAGGTTCTGTAAGTTTCTGTTCTGAAGGTTGGGGTGGCCGTGTTTCAGATAAGCAGATTACCATTCATTCAGGTTTTCTCAACATGCTTGAAATTGGCGATCTTATACTAGCAGACCGAGGTTTCCGAAGTGAAAAAGAAGTTGCAGCAAAAAGTGCGATAATAAAAGTGCTAGCTTTTACAAAAGGAAGAAGTCAACTATCTGTTAAAGATGTAGACAAATCTAGACAGCTTGCTAATATAAGAATTCACGTAGAGCGAGTTATTAGACACTAAAAAAAATTTGATATTTTGAATGGTAAATTACCTAAAAATCAAGTGGATTTACTAGAAAACGTTATATTTACTATTTGTGGACTTGTAAATATGAGTAATAGTGTTGGTATTTAACTGAAAAACTAAAATTTAGTGTATTATTGTTTTTGCTTCTTGTTTTGTATCTTTGCAAGTTGGGCAAACCCATGATTTTCTGGGTGCATATTTTATATTAATACATGAATAGTGGTACCATTCAATCTTGCAATTTGGACTATCACATGCAATCATTGGATAAAAAACTAGGCTTCTGACAAAGACAGTATTTTTTCTCTTCTAATTCATTTTTCGGGTCATTTTTTTCTGCATATTAGTTCTGGATGTACCACTTCCAAAAAACATTTTTTAATTTTTCCAGTAATGTTTTACAAAAAATGTTTTATATTTGTACTCTCAATAAAAATGTATCTTTTTTAGTAAGTCCATTACTCCAGGCCTTGTTTTAAAGCGTTACGCCTGGAACTTTATTTACGCTTTAAGCGATTTTTACGTACGCGTAGAGCTGTTTTGGTTAAGCTACTTTTTATCATTTTTTAAATTTTAAATTAGCGGTAACATAAAAGAAGTAATTAATTTTTTAAAAAAAACCACATTAACTTTTAAATAACGATATGTAAAAATATTTATTAGAATAAAAAAATTACGTTAAAAATAATTGAAGTAACTTTATATCGCGACATATCATACGTTTTTGTAACATTTAATTTTACGCTTAACTTTTTATTGAAATATTTAGTAACATGAAAAACTGTTCGTCAATCCTTACCTACAAATTTTTTGCAAATGTTTTTAATAAAAAGTAGTAACTTTTTAAAGTTTTCAGTAAAAAACTTTTAAAAAATCTATATTCCAAACTTATTAATACAGAATGTAAATGTTTTTTGTAATATAAATTTTTTAAGAGTTTTTTACTAAATTCATATTAAAAAACATTTGCAAAAAATTTGTAATTAAGGGTTGACATTTTTATCAAAAAACGTCTTATTTTTGTTATCATGATAACAAAAATATCAAGACATTTTTTCAAGGTATTAAAAAAAATGTGCCAATGAATGAACTATCTATTTGTATTTTTCTAAAAATTACTTCATTAATTATTACTTTTTGCTTTTCTTATTAGTTAAAGGTACCTATATAGATACCTTTGCCTTTAAGTTATGCGGGGGAAGGGGGCCAAAACAAAAAAAAAAAAGAAGTTACCTGTTACTCGCAAATTTTGAATGAAGACAATTTGTTAAATTTCTTCTGCGTGCGATTCAATAAATTTTTTTCATAGATCAAGTTATATTATAAGGTAAAGAAATCACGAGTAGACTATAACATCCGCTGATGACACTAATATTACATTGAATATATTTATATAATGGAGGTTTCTTTATGCACGTGCACATTGCAGATTCCGTTAAATAAATACCAAGGCACGTTTTAGTTTAATTACAGTCTCTATTTTTTATTAATGAATATGTATTTTTCTTTATAAAACAAGACAAACTAGTATACAAAAACCTTTTATATTTCTATTCTCTCTAATTGTTTAAAGTTTGAATATGGATTGTATTTTGAAGGACAAAAGATTTCCTTTAATAACTTTTAAATCTTGGTACTTTGCCAATGCCTTGCCGATGCGATGATCACAGAAAAAGAGAAAACTTACGTTATTAAAATCAAATGTAAGTTATGTGATCTTCATCAAAATAAAATATAATCCTAAAACAATTGTGCCGTAAGGGCAGCTGCCCTACGGTTTATAAATAACACTAGTCATGTTAAAATATTTTAACATGTTACTATATTTAATTTAAGTTGATATATAAATAAAAATAAAAATATAGTTTAATAAATAACTTAAATTTGTTCTTAACAAAGATTACCTCATATTTATTCTTTTTTTATTTTATTAAGTTAAATTGCTTACAAACGAAGAAAAAAAAGAGCTTTTTTTTTTTTGTAGAATGAAAAAACTTTTGAGTTTGTTTAAAAGTTAAGGAACTTAATTTTTAATAAACAAATTTTTATGAACGTTTATTATAAACAGATATGATTCAAATTATCAAATATACTATATATCAAATATATATTATTTTAGTTGAGTATTTATTTAAGTTTGCATGGTTAAAGTTTTGCGGAGAAGTATTTGTTTTTTGTTTTAAGAATAATTAACAAAAGAGTTTGCATAATTAAGACTTTTATATTTAATTTAATTTTTTTTTAATTTCCTAAAATTAAAAAAAAAAAGATTTAATCGTTAAAAACGATATTTCTCTATAGCTCTGTTTCTTTGTGATTTGTTTAAAATGTAAAAGATTTTTCAATAACATAAAAAATTTATAAATTAAATTCCTGGCGAACGCGTTCTAAACTATGTATCAAAAATATGCTAAAAGCAGACAAAACGTTTTTATATTTTTATATAACGCAACTTGAAACGCTAAGCAAGATAAATTTTAAAAAATATTCTTTCCTAAATTATTCTTTGCTAGTCAAAACAAAATCGCTGTTTAAATAATTAACATAGGTTTTTGTTTATCAATGTTAATATTTTTTGTTTACTCCAGAAATTTTTAAAAATAAAAAAAAATCATTATTTTTTATTCAAAAACGATTTATAAACAATAATTATTCGAAAACAAATTTCAGAAATAATTAATATATATATATATATATATATATATATATATATATATATATATATATATATATATATATATATATATATATATATATATATATATATATAATATATATATATATATATATATATATATATATATATATATATATTACAAAATAATACCAAACTAAAATTAATAATATAATAACAATTGAAAACATTACAAACTTTTTATTATAAATTTACATTTAAAACGTTTATAGTTATTTGAGTTAATTGTTAAATTGAACTAGTTAGCGGTTATTTATTTATTGCGGTAGTTAAAACACTATATATAAAATGTCTATAAAAAAAATAAAGATAATTTTATGACGTCAAATATCGCGTTAAGCTAATGCATTAAGCACTTTTTTATTTAAAAAAAGGCCTGTTACTCCATACAAAAAAGTCAGAATAAGTTCTACCTGTTACAAGCATCTGATGCTGCATTTGATAGTAATATTTATGCTCTTTATTTATGTTGTCATAAATATCAATTAGACCTCCTTTGTCCTCTTTGCATCCATCAAGACCATTCCTAAATTTAAATGGGCATTTAATTTCTAGAACCCCAGCGCCATGGCATTTACAATCAACAAACCCATCAGGACTTGTTCTAAAAATGGATTTTTAGTATTGATGTACAATCCAGCACCAGTCAAGCAAAAATATTTGTGCTCTTATGCTGCTAATAAAGTGTTGTAGCATTTTCTGGCACGTTCTTTGTTTCTTTTACCGTAATTTAAAGCAGGTTCGTTTGGGATTTTATACTGCATTATTTCATTAATAAAAT